TATATATTTATAAACTGTTTTATATTTTAATATATATATATATATATATAATTTATAAATTTACAAATTTATAAATTTTATATAAATTATTATTATATTTTATTTTAATATATTTTAAGTCTTCAATGTCACATGATCCTTCAGAAATCATTGTAATAAATTTCCACCTATTTCAACTTAAAAACTTAAGTTCTTTTAAAAAAAAGTATAATTGTTGTACAAGTCATTTCAACTTCATATTTTTGTGGAAACCATGCTACATTTTTTCTTTGATGAATAGAAAGTTCAAAAGAACAGCATTTATGTGACGTGTCTTTACTGACACTTTTGATTGATTTACCGTATCCTTATTGAAAAAAGCAATAATTTCTCTTACTGACCTAAACTTTTGAACGGTATAAATATTAAAATTATTTTTCTATATGACAAATATTGTTTTACTTTATTTTGGGGGTGAAATAATCAAACGAGTTGCAATATACTGACAGTTTGTGAATTCTTTCTCCCGGTTAATTTCAGGGGTGGGGTGTTTCTGTCAGAATCATCTCTCTGTGTCCTACAGCGTCAGGATGAGTGACTCACAGAGAGATGGGGAAAGTTTTACTACTGTAACCTCACCCAGCGGCCTCCGTGAGCAGATATAACTCCAGCAGCACACAAACACCTCTGCACTGTGACTCAACTGACACCAAGGGCTGTGTTTTTACACCTGCCTGTTTTGGGACATGCTGCTGACAGTAAATAAATAGCAAATAATATTATTTTATTCAGTTATATAGGCCGATAACAGTTTTTAATTACTTGATTTTCTTTAAATGGTCATTTGCTTGAACCTATATGTAGGTGTAAGGAAATAAACCTTTTTATTTTTGCTTATAAATTTCTTTTGAGCAGCCAAATTTGTCTGCTCAAACCATATGAATAGATTATTGAGATTTTTACAATATAAGTGTCTTATGCTGTATATATCACGGGCTGTGTTGTGTTCATGTCTCCTGGTTCATTTTCAATCTGTCACACCTCACCATCTGAAGAATCTGAGGCATTTATTACAGATCCGTTCCCTGCATGTATCAAACTACACGACTCTAATTATAAAGTGCATCATTAGTGTATTAAGTTCAAACAAATATGAAAGTCTTCCAAAAAAAAAAAAAAAAAAAAACTAAAAGAAAAAAAAAAAAATAGGCTACTTTACTTTAGACAAAAGTGTAATTTGCTTTCATACATAAACTCATAAAATCACAGCATAATACAGACGCTGCCCATTTATGACCTGCAAACGATTTCAAAAGAATAATAGAAGTTCGTGTTTAAAATAACGCACCCACCTGAAGGACGTGATTGAATGAATGTCCCGTTGTAGATCGTATTTGTTTAGTTATGTTTGGGAGTCCGCTGTTCCTTCTGTTGTCCGCGTCTGCTGTGGGCTCTGCTCGCTAGTGCGCGCGCGTCAGGGGGCTTTTGTATTTGTATAATTTGTGTATTTTGCCGAGAGATGGCGCTGTAGCTCCAGTCCCAAAAACAAACAACTGATACAGTGTTTATACACAGGGTTTACATAGAAAACAGTTACTGTAAACATAACATTACATTTTGTGTTTCCAAAAATTACATTTCTTGATCAAGTCCACTAATAATAATTATAAAAATACTTATGCAGGCCATATTTTTTAACATTAGGCTGATAATAAATGTATTTGTGTATAAACACGATTGTAGTGTAGTGTGTTAAAATGATCTTATCACTGTTCCCGATGTGTGTTTTATAAGCTTTTACAGTTTTATACCTTGCTGAAAATGATTATTAATTTAGCTGTACGACGTGCAGAGGCGGACTATACACTCCGAATATCTTTGGTCTTTGAATATTCATACATTGTTTTAATTCGTTGAGCGTCAAATGGCGTAATTAATATTCATGAGTTAAGTCATCGCTGCAGCAGCGCCCTCTGTTGGCTGAGAGACGTCCAGACGGAGCGCAGAGTCGCACTGCTTGTCCTGCTGTGAGGCAAGTAGCCTGAACATTTTTTTAAATAAATAATTCAATAAAATAAAGTAAAGTAAAGTAAAATAAAATAAAATAAAAATATAAATAAATAAAATAAAGTTAAATTATGTAAAGTCAAATAAAATAAAATTAACTGAATTGCATCAGCAATAAATAAATAGTAATTATATTATATTATATACTGTTTTGGAAAAGGACATTTTACTTGTGATCGCCAAATATGAACTATCATTAATTCAGTTTCACACCTGGCCAGGTGGGTCATAGCCTCCTCCACCTGGTGTCCACTCTTAGCACTGCATTCATAGAACTCAGCCTGGTACTGCTGTCAACACACACAACAACAAACACTGACACATGCAAATGTCTGAGATCAGTCAGAAATGATGAGCAGTCTGCGGCGAAGTGCTCTAGTCACATCCCTCCTGCCTGCGGTCGCCAGGTCTGTCTTATTGCCTAGCAACATCAGACACGCCCCTTCAGCCATCTTTTCCTGCCAGTCACACACACACACAGAATGATACTTAATCTAATAAACCAATCACAGGGTCACACACAGTCAACATAAACAGATTAAGGCACATGCTAAATACACTCTCTCACTAATTTTTACAGTAAACCTTCAATCAAAGTCACACACTTATTTGTATGCAAAGCAGCGTAAGCACACCTTTTGCATACAAATGCTGCCATACTATGTAACCAGTCCAGGCAGTTTATATCTTCACCTGTGAGGTTTTAAATAAATAAACTCATCTGGCATTGTAGATTATTTAAACCAGTCTCTTGGTTCTATAAACCGTTTTTGGGACATCTGACCTCT